TGAAAAATTATTGGGTCCATATGAGGAGAATGAAGAATACTCTCAATCAAGTCTGTTGTTTTTCTAGATTTGATGAGGCGTCAAGAAGAACTTCGGAGGATGGAAGAGCTGCACAACCAAGAAGTGCAAAAACGAAAGCAACTGGAGCTCAGGTAACTCTTCTCAACCCTTTTTCTCTCATAATGTCTCACTCCTGCTTCCTACCACCAAGCTACCTCATGCATTTATAAATATATTGGCAAACATTTCCTGGCTGTTTCTGAAGTTCTCCCTTTGGATGGGAGATGTTTCAGCTGCCAGTGGTTCTGGGAATTACGGCTACACTAAAGAGAAAACAGCTGAGTGCTGGTCTCATGAGGCTCCTTTGAGAAAGAACTTTTTCCCCTAAGGGGCACATCAGGGTTGCTTTAGGGCTGGGCACATTTAACATTGAACTTCCTGGAGAGCTATGATAGTTTCCAGTTGGCTCTTTTTAAACTATATATATATATATTTATTGATTTCAGAGAGGAAGGGAGAGGGAGTGAGAGATAGAAACATTAATGATAAGACAGAATCATTGATCGGCTGCCTCCTGCATGCCCCGTACTGGAGATTGAACCCACAACCCAGGCATATGCCCTTGACCAGAATCAAACCCGGGAACCTTCAGTCCACAGGCCGACATTCTATCCACTGAGCCAAACTGGCTAGGGCTTCAGTAGGCTCTTGATCCTCTTGGCTGAGTCCCCTATTAAGATAATCAGCTTAAGTTCTGGAATGCCTCTGCTTAAATACTTTGGTGACTCTCTGTAGGCAGGAGGAAGAGCGCAGGCGCCGTGAGGAAGAGATGAGGCGACAGCAGGAAGAAATGATGCGGCGACAGCAGGAAGGATTCAAGGGAACCTTCCCTGATGCGGTATATCTCCTTTGTGCCCATGATGTACCAGTCCAGTCGTGATATGACAAACCCACCATGAATTGTCTGCCCACTAGGACTATACAACATACCAGGTTATGATCAATTTTTCCATTCTGTGAAACTCCTTTTAGAAATAATTCATAGGAAGGAAAGGTAAGGTTTGAAGGAGAGCTCTTTTTGCCCCATGGGCTATTTAGGATGAAAAGCTGGGACTAGTATATGCTATTCAGACTCAGTGACTGCAGGATGAGATATATCCAATTCTGTAGCACCCTTGTCTAGTGACTAGTCCATTGCTGTCCTTCAAGTTATATAGGTTGGAGCTATAGGAAAAAATTGACTATCTTTCCCCTTTCCTTTCATAACTCTCTTGTACCTAATAGGAGACTGACTTGTGTCCTAGTAGCTCTGATCTTGAACTCACTGTATAACTAGTGAGGAATTGTTGGTGTTCCTCAGCTTGGTCTCAGTATACTTAGGATGTGTTATCACTCTATACTTTCCTTAGTGTGTGGTCTTCAATGGATTGTGGGAGAATGCAGTGCTGTCTTAGACTGTCTTTAGTGTTTTTTTGTTTTTCAGAGAGAGCAGGAGATACGGATGGGCCAGATGGCTATGGGAGGTAAGGACTCAGGAGATTAATGGCTCTGATTTCCCTTTTTGTCTTGTCTCTGGTGAACTATGTAGCTTATTTTATGTATTCCAGATTTAAGGGATTCACATTTCTGGGAGCATCGTTTTTTGGGGTGGGGTAACATGTCTTAGCCCAAAGGTCTTGTTGAATTGTTAACTTTAGAACAGAAAGAGACAGATGATATCTTTCTCCTGTACTGATCACACTACTCTGCTTTAGGTGCTATGGGAATAAACAACAGAGGTGCCATGCCCCCTGCTCCTGTGCCTGCTGGTACACCAGCTCCTCCAGGACCTGCCACTATGATGCCAGATGGAACCTTGGGATTGGTAATAACTGCAGGACCTTAACAGTAACCCTGAATGGTGATGGGAGGAGAAAGGACTTTGCTTCCATAGTCGCTTGGCCTGCCATGATTTTGCTACAGATAACAGTATTAGAACTACTGTTATCCAATGTAACCTCAAGGTCTTTATTTTGGACTCCTGAGTAAACGAGTCTCAAAATATACTTTATGGTTCATACAATCCTGAGGTGATTTTAGTTCTTATATCAAAATGTTAAAACTGGATAGGCTTCAGGTTGCTTGAAAAGTGATGGCCTGCCTTGTCCATGTACCTAGTTCATCAAAAAGGACATAGGTAGAACTTAACCATCTTAGGAATTTAGTATGTAATATTGCTTAGCTAATAAGAATAGGGATAGCCCTAACCGGTTTGGCTAAGTGGATAGAGCGTCGGCCTATGGACTGAAGGCTCCCAGGTTCGATTCCGGTCAGGGGCATGTGCCTTGGTTGCGGGCACATCCCTGGTGGGGAGTGTGCAGGAAGCAGCTGATCGATGTTTCTCTCTCATCAATGTTTCTGACTCTATCCCTCTCCCCTCCTCTCTGAAAAATCAATAAAAATATATTTAAAGAATAGGGATAAAGAAGAGGAAGAAAGAATAGGGATAAAAAGTTAAAGGTGGGATGGTTGGGTGGGTCCGTAATTCAGGCAACCTTCCTTTCAGGGACATCTATCCGCTAGAGCAGCGGTTCTCAACCTGTGGGTCGTGACCCATTTGGCGGTCGAACGACCCTTTCACAGGGGTCGCCTAAGACCATCCTGCATATCAGATATTTACATTACGATTCATAACAGCAACATTACAGTTATGAAGTAGCAACAAAAATAATTTTATGGTTGGGTCACAACATGAGGAACTGTATTTAAAGGGCCAGAAGGTTGAGAACCACTGCGCTAGAGTCTTTTTTTTTTTAATGTATTTTTTTGTTGTTGTTGATTTCAGACAGGAAGGGAGAGAGAGAGAGATACATCAGTGATGAGAGATGATCATTGATTGGCTGCCTCCTGCACACCGCACATGGGATCGAGCCCACAACCTGGGCATGTGCCCTGACTAGGAATTGAACGGTGACCTCCTGGTTCATAGGTCGACACTCAACCACTATGTACTCCAGCCGGGCTATCCGCTAGAGTTTTTTTGTTGTTGTTTTCATTGATTTCAGAGCAGAAGGGCAAGGGAGAGAGAGATAGAAACATCAATGATGAGAGAGAATCATGTCTGCCTCCTGCACGCCCCACAACCCAGGCATGTGCCTTGACAAGGAATGGAACTGTGACCTCCTGGTTCATAGGTCACTGAAGCATGAGCCATGCTGGCCAGGCTCCGCTAGAATTTTAAACATGATTAGGCATCCCCAGCAGGTGGAGCCCTGGCTGGTTTGGCGCAGTGGATAGAGCGTCGGCCTGCGGACTGAGTGGTCCCAGGTTCGATTCCAGCCAGGGGCACATGCCTGGGTTGTGGGCTTGGTCCCCAGTGGGGAGCATGCAGGAGGCAGCTGATTGATGGTCCTCTTTCATCATTGATATTTCTATCTCTATCCTCCCTTCCTCTCTGAAATCAATATAAATATATTTTAAAAAATAATTGGGGTGGAAATGGCCTCCAAGGGAAGGACTACAGATGGGTGGGAAGCTTAGGATATAGGTTATTTTGTAATGTTTCTCTCTTTTTCTCTTTAAGACCCCACCAACTACCGAACGCTTTGGCCAAGCTGCTACAATGGAAGGAATAGGGGCAATTGGTGGAACCCCTCCTGCATTCAACCGTGCAGCTCCTGGAGCTGATTTTGCTCCAAACAAACGTCGCCGATACTAATAAAATTGCAGTGTCTAGTTTCCCAAAACCCTTAAGAGAAGGACCCTTTTTGGACTAGCCAGAATTCTACCTGGAAAAGTGTTAGGGATTCCTCCCAATAGTTAGATCTTCCCTACCTGTACTACTCTAGGGAGTATGCTGGAGACAGAGGTCAAGGGAGGGGTGATATTTAACAAATCATTTCTGTGTGGTATATTGTTTAATTGTGTCTGTGTGGTGCATTCCTGAAGTCTCGAGATTATTGAAGGCCAGGGGTGGGGGGCGATGGCAAAGTGGATCCAGTTAGAGCCCCCATGAATCTTGATCATTCCATTCTGTTTATCCTGTTCTATTTGCATTCTCATTCTTAAATTTCCCGACCCCGGAGACACTGCCACATGTACCACAAAAACCACAAACATCCTCCATCACTTGATTCACTCCCAGGTGGGAATTCAGGCAATGTCCGCAGAGGTCACAGATAACATACATGCATACGGTTCTGTTATACCCCATATATTATCCCTTCATATCCTAAGGAAGACATTTTTCTCTTAGAGATTTTCATTTTAGTATATCTTTAAAAAAAAAAAAATCTTGTGTTAACTAGCCTCCATCTTTTTCTTGGGTAAGGACAACCCAGGAATGGCCCTTTTGTGTCTGATGTTGCTGTTCACAGCTTTTCTTGATAGGCCTAGTACAACCTTGGGAACAGGGTTGCTGTATGATGAAATGTCCAACAGTAGCTCTTAGCATTGCCTATCTTATGTAGTTATGCTGTGCTTTTTTTTTTTTTATTGGTGTACCATGTTTGATTTGTTCCTGATACCTTCGGAGTTTTTTTTCTGAAAATGGAGCGGTAATGAAGCATCAACTTATTAAAATACATTTTAATCCTTTTCATTTTCTGTGCTATTTTTGGAGGGGAAGGGAGGGAGGGGTGTTCTGTCTCAAGAACTGAGCAGTAGGTTTTATCAAGTATCCATGTGGCAAACATGTCAGGGATTGGATGCATACTGTGGTTGACAAATATCTGTGCTATTGGTACACAGAAGTAGTAAGGATGGGAGGAAAGCGTCTTTGAAAGAAAATGGGCTGGGGGATTGGGGTATTCTCATTAGGAGAGGTCTCAAAATTGCTATTTGTTTCTGAGCAGCTGCTAATGTGTCTGAGGCTTAGAATTGACATGGTAAAACTAAAACAGTCTCAGCAGTGATTAGCTGACCTCATCCAAGTTCCAAGCCCTACTCTGCGTGATCCTTTTCTTGAGCCTCAGAGCTAAAATGCTCCTGAGCTCATTCCTATTGGCTGGGAAGACCAATTGAAGTTCCCTTGCCCATGTTAGGAGGTGTACGCCTTCTGAACTAAAGATAGACACAGCTGCCCCTTCCAGACAGCTAAAAGCTTCCAGACTAAGAGGTCTTCCCCACTCGGCAGCCAGACTCCTTGAAATACCCTTTCAGTAATTCTACCAACGCTTCCATGTCTCTACTCTGCCATAACAAAGGCTGTGGGCAGCACTTTGACCCCAATACCAATCTTCCTGGTGAGTAAGCCTGGTCTTGCCAGGGGGCTCTGGATCCTGGGGAATGGTCATCTGTGGATAGTCTGCTAAAGGAGTAGAAGAAGAAATTTAGTGTACCTGCCCTGGTTTAACTGGTCTGGGCAGTCTTCAATCTTGACTGGATTTTTTTTAATATTATATGGAAAAACCAAAGCATATAGGCCTGTGGAAGAGGTAAGAAGTGACATTTGGTATAGTTTCTTTTCTTGATCTTTCTACCCATATCCACAGATTCCTGTTGCCATCACACTGGGATTCCAATCTTCCATGATGCACTTAAGGTGAGGTATACGTGAGGGGGTGATAGCAAGAACATTTCCCAAAGGAAATACACTCAGGAATCTAAGCTGAGCTGGGTCTCATTATCAGGGTTGGTCCTGCTGCCGGAAGCGAACTGTAGATTTCTCTGAGTTCTTAAACATCAAGGTAAATTCTTTACTTAGATTCTGCCCCTAATAGAAAGATTCTATCTCTAATCCTCCTCTCCTTATCTGTACTAGGGCTGTACTATGGGACCACACTGTGCTGAGAAGCTCCCTGAAGCCCCTCAACTTGAGGGCCCTGGCACAAGCAGTTCATTTCAGGAGCAAAAACTGACTACGATTCCAAAGTCAGCAGAGACTTTGCGCCGGGAGAGGCCCAAGTAAAGAGGAGGTCCCATCCCTAGCTGGTTTGGCTCAGTGGATAGAGCATCAATCTGCAGACTGAAGGGTCCTGGGTTCTATTTCAGTCAAGGGCACATGCCCAGATTGCAGGCTGGATCCCCAATAGGGGGCGTGCAGGAGGCAGCCGATAAATGATTCTCTCTCATCATTGATGTTTATCTCTCCCTCTCCCTTCCTCTCTGAAATCAGTAAAAATATTTTAAAAAGTAGGAGGTCTCAGGGTTTTTGCTACATTCATGGAACTTAGGGTCATTGGGGTTTGGGAGATAGGGCATAGAGATGTGAGGAGGGCCAGATGTCAGGGCTTAGTATATATTTTGTGCCATAGGGGAAATCTGTCCAGAAATAATGTCCCTTACTGTAAGGTGGTATGGGTGATAGATAGGTATTTTGAGTTAACAGGGCAGATAGCACCTCATGAATACATATTTATAATACAAGGGGGAATTGGGAAGATCTTGATTTTTTTTTCTGTTTGGAAAAGATCTTTAAAATAGTTTTACATCAAGAAAAGGATGTAGTAGAGTTGGCAGTCAGGAGGCTGCAGAGAAGAGTAAGTTAATTTTGCGGAAATAGAAGAAAGTCATATTAGGTCCACAATTAATTAGAAGAAGGGGAAATGGTATGTTTCTACAAAGAAATGTGAGATTTAAAGCAACTGAGTAGATGAGCAAGAGAAGTCCTGGTGATTTCTTCAGGGTCAGGGATTTGGGATATCCATAGAGAAGAAAATTGGCAATGGAGTTTCTACCCAATTTCTCCAACCCTGACCTTACTTTCACCAGACTTCTTCGACTCCATTAGAACTGGTGGGAGTGTTGGAGCTGTTGATCATGGTTAATGAGTCAGAACTAAATCATCTCACCCTTACCCCCTAGGTCAGAGTTGCCACCAAAGCTGCTTCCGCTAAATATATCCCAAGCCCTGGAAATGGCATTGGAAAAGAAGGAATTAGACCAGGAATCTGGAGCAGGTAAAGTGGGTCCTTAGTTGGACAGACCTCGAAGACTGGAATTTAGTGAAAGTGGCAGTTGGGTGGATATAATGGATAGGTTCCTGACTGCCCAGCTGGTGTGGCTTAGCAGTTGAGCCATAAACCAAGAGGTTACTGGTTCAATTCCTGGTTAGGGCACATGCCCGGTTTGGGGCTCAATCCCCAGTAGGGGCATGCAGGAGGCAGCCAATCGGTGATTCTCTTTCATCGCTGATGTTCCTATCTCTCTCTTCCTCTCCCTTCCTCTCTCTAAAACAGTGGTTCTCAACCTTCCTAATGCCGCAACCCTTTAATACAGTTCCTCATGTTGTGGTGACCCCCAACCATAAAATTATTTTCATTGCTACTTCATAACTGTAATTTTGCTACTGTTATGAATCGTAATGTATTTTCATTGTTACAAATTGAACATAATTAAAGCATAGTGATTAATCACAAAAACAATATGTAATTATATATGTGTTTTCTGATGGTCTTAGGCGACCCCTGTGAAAGGGTCGTTCAATCCCCAAAGGGGTAGCGACTCACAGGTTGAGAATCGCTGCTCTAAAATCAATAAAAATGTATTTAAAAATAAAAGATAGGTTCTTGACTCTATTTTCCTCCCTTGCCCAGGACTTGACAGTAGTCTGATTCAGACTGGTTCCAGCTGCCAGAACCCAGGATGTGACGCTGTGAGTGAGAGTTTATGAGGGCTCAAGCATGTGGCTGAGGGATACTATACCCAAGAGATGATTGGGTATAGATATGAAGTTGCATGGAGTACACTTTAGAATGACTTGATTCCTTTCCTTTTTCCTTGATCTGTCTTAGGTTTACCAAGGCCCTGAGAGTGATGCTACTCCATGTACTTACCACCCAGGAGCACCTCGATTCCATGAAGGGTGAGAGAGGGTACTAGGTGGGCTGTGAGAGAGGTTTCTCCCAATGTTGAACATAGATGGGAGTAGGGGCTTGTGGGAATGGAAAGGGATTCAGTTGAATTATCTTCCTACCTCAGGATGAAGTCTTGGAGCTGTTGTGGCATCCAGACCCTGGATTTTGGGGCCTTCCTGGCACAGCCAGGATGCAGAGTTGGTAGACATGACTGGGGGAAGCAGGTAAGCTCCAACTTCCCTGAACTCTTGATTAGGAGCCAATTCCAGAAATAATTTCTCCTCCCCGTACTTCATAGCAAGCTATCTCCCTTTGTATGGACCAAATAAGATTCTGCTCCTTATCCCTCAACAGCCCAGAAGCTTTGCAATCAATATAAGTTAGTGTTAATCTTCCTGAAACTCTGTCTCTTCTCCATACAAACCATGAGAACTCCTCTTGGGTTAAGCATTCATTTTTACCACTCACATTTCACATCTTTAGCTACCAGCATCTTGCCGTCATGATTGGCACCAGACAGATTCCTTAGTAGTGGTGACTGTGTATGGCCAGATTCCACTTCCTGCATTCAACTGGGTGAAGGCCAGTCAAACTGAGGTAAGGGATGTCTGATGCTGGATGGGAGGCTAGTGAATTGGGTGTTATTACAATCTTACAGGCAGTGTTGCTGTATGTAGTTAACATGTAGACTCCATAGTCCCCTGAGAGGAAGGTAATGATATTGGGTCAGGGTTATCTGACCTGTGGATCACACCTCTGGCCTGGTTCTGTGTCATAATGATCTGTTCTGACCTTCTGGATTGTTACTACCCCTATAATTCTTTTCTCTCAGCTTCATGTCCACATTGTTTTTGATGGTAACCGTGTGTTTCAAGCACAGATGAAGCTCTGGGGGGTAAGTGAAGATAAGGGAGCACAGGAGGGAGGGCAGATGGGGTGAAAAGAAGGGCCAGACTGCAATGAATAGAGGGTGTCTTGAGGGGGAAGGAGTTGTAATGGGAAGAAGTGGAGGTTTTCTCTTCATTTGCTTTTATATTCTCTCCCTTCCCCTCCCTTTTTCCCCCTTCCCTATCCCCTTTCTCTTTTTTCCTCCTCTCCCTTACTATGTTGTCTTATTTTTCCATCTTTTCCCCCACCTTACATTTTTATTTTCTCCCCGTCATTTATCACCACCCCACCTTGACCCCAACCCCCTTGATTTCTTCATTTTTCTCTTTTTCCTGTGTTCCTCTATCTTTCCCTCTTCCTCAGGTCATAAACGTGGAGCTGAGCTCTGTCTCCTTGATGCCATCTCGGGTTGAAATCTCCCTGGTGAAGGCTGACCCAGGATCCTGGGCCCAGCTGGAGCACCCTGATGCACTAGCTGAGAAGGCTAAGGCAGGGGTTGGGTTAGAGATGGATGAGGAAGAATCTGAGGACTCAGATGATCTGAGCTGGACAGAGGAGGAGGACGAGGAGGAAGCAATGGGGGAATAGTGACACCAAACAATCAAGTATCTAGACAGGACCTCAATAAATCTCATAGGATCTCAGAGACCAGGATATGGTTGGCCATGTGGTATTGAGCAGCAGGAGGCTGAAGGAGGGGAGAACAAAAATATCCAAACCATGCTGTTTGTTCTCTTAAATAAATCTGTTATTCTACAGTTTCACATAGTGTTGTTCTCTCACCTCACTATCTAAGATTGTATTCATTTCCCCCAACTTCTGTGTGTTTGACACATGTGTGAAAACAAGCACATTCACATTCAATCTATTCTTCACAACTATCAGTTATTTACTGAGTACTTACTATGTGCCCAGTTATGTGTTGGGTAGTTTAGAGATATTTGAGAAACAGAAGACTTATTCATTCCTCTCAGGAAAATTACAGTCTGGCTGACAAGTCCTGGATAATCGACATGAAATAATAATAAACATTATTAGGTAGTTAAACTGAGTACTAAATTGTGCAGTACAGTTTTTAAGAGCTATTGGAGTTGAGAGAATGGTGAGATTAATGTGGACTGCAGTAGAAAAGGAAGGCTCAGAATAAAACTTAATCTTTCCCTAAAAAAAAAGAAAGGGAAGTCTCCATGGAAGACGTAATTTTTTTAAAAAAACTTTATTGAGATACAATTCACAGACCATACAACACCCATTTAAAGTATAAAATTCAATGTTTTTCCGAGTTGTATAACCACAATCAACTTAAAACATTTTCATCACTCCAAAAGAAACCCTGTCTATATCCATTAGTAGTCACTCCCAATTTTCCTTCAAACTCATAGCCCTAGGCAACCACTAATCTACTTTCTGCCTCTGTGGATTTACCTATTGTGGATATTTTATGACTGGAATGAAAAAAAAATGTGGTCTTTTGTGACACACTTCTTTCACTTAGCATAATATTTTCAAAGTTCATCCATGTTGTAACGCATATAAGCTCTTAATTTCTTTTCATGAACAAATAATATTCCACTGTGTGATTATACTACATTTTGTATATCCGTTCATCAGTTGAGGGACATTTGGGTCTTTTTCCACTTTTTGCCTATTATGAATAATGATGTTATGAGCATTCACGTAAAAGTGTTTATATAGACATAGGTTTTCATTTTTCTTGGATATATACCTAGGAGTGTAATTTCTGGGTCAAATGATAACTTTAATCTTTTGAGCAACTGCCAGACTATTTCCAAAGAGGCTGCATCATTTTACATTCCCACCAGCTATGTAAGAGGGTTCCAGTTTCTCTACATCCTCAATAACACTTATTTGTCTTATTTTATTATAACCATACTAGTGGGTATGAAGTGGAATCTAACTATGGTTTTAATTTGCATTTCACTGATGGCTAATGATGTTGAGCATCTTTACTTGTGCTTATTGGTAATTTGTGTCTCATATTTGGAAAAACATCTGTTCATATCTTTTGACCATCTGCTAATTGGGTGATTTGTCTTTTTATTGAGTTATAAGAGTATTAAATATAAGGTATCCCCAAAAGTATATATACACACTTTGAATAATAATAATAAAGGCAGTGTTTATTAAAATAAATTTCATTTTCAAAATTGAGCTATCAGGTGTTAAAGTTTGTATACATTTTTTGGGACACCTTATGTATTTTGGAGACAAGTCTCCTGTCAGATATAAGATTTGCAAATATTTTCTCCCATTGTGTGTGTTGTCATTCCACTTCCTTAGTGGCGTCCTTTGGTACACAAAAGTTTTTAATGTTTATGAAGTCCAGTTTTTCTATTTTTCCTTTTTTTTCTTACGTTTTTGATGTCATATCCAAGAAACCATTGCCTAATCCAAGGTCACAAAGATTTGCTTCTGTGTTTTCTCCTAAGTGTTTTATAGTTTTAGCTCTTACATTGAGGTCTTCAATCCATCTTGAATTAATTTTTATATGTGGTATGAGGTAGGGGGTTCAACTTTACATTTATGCTTATGGATATTCAGTTGTCCCAGCACCATTTTTTGAAAGACTCTTCTGTCCCCGTTGAATTGCCTTGGTACCCTAGCTGAAAATCAATTGACCATAAATGTGAGGGTTAAGAAATACATTCTGAATGGAAATTTGAAGAATGAGAAATTTGGATGGGTATGGAAGAGAGGAAGAGCCAGGATGGGGCAAGAAGATGTTTTATTTTACTTTTCGTGTTTTAATTTTATTTCCAAAAGTAATATATTGCCACTGTAGAAAAACTCAGTACAGAAGTATGTAGAGTAAAAAGTAAATGTTCCTCTTCAGATATTCTCCAATCTTAGTTCCTTTGCTGTTTGTAACCACTGCTAACATATAAAAAGGCATGTTTAAGGGAGGGGACAAAAAAGTTAAATGGCGTCTGACTAGATTGGGAGGAGCCTAAAATTCTAGATCAAGGATTTTGAACATGATTTAAAAGAGAGTTAAAAAGACATTATAGGCTTTTCCTTTTAAAATGTAGATTCTTAATCAGAGGACTCTTTTAAGTCTCCCTTGAGTCAAATTTACTTCCTCAACAGCATGGCCAAGAATCTGGAAGATTTAAACTCCAAGAAACATCAAACTAGGAAGCTCACCAAACCTCAGATGACCTCAAGTTCTTTTCATAGCAACCTTCCCTCTCAGTTCAGATTCAAGAAACATAGGGTCTCGTTGGGAGCGAGGAGTAAGATGGGGATGGGAGAATGGACATGGGCAGCAAAGGTGAGGGATCACAGCATAGTTTGGCTGAGAATTTGGAGACTGAAGCAAGATTAGGGGATATTAGGGAATGAGTTCAGAAATACCTCACATATCAGAGGTAAAGAGGTTTCCTGGACCTCCAGGATATTCAACAATTCTCACTCAGTATTCTCTCATTCTATGGATTTGAAATGCAAATAAAATTTCCCCCTCAAACTGAACCCTTCAGATCCTTTCTAACCCTGGCAGCAGTTAACTATTTTAAAAAATATTTTTATTGATTTCAGAGAGGAAGGGAAAAGGAGAGAGAGAGAGAAACATCAATGATGAGAGAGAATCATTGATCATCTGCCTCCTGCATGCCCCCCAGTGGGGATCAAGCCCACAATCTGGGCATGTGCCCTAACCAGGAATCAAACTGTGACCTCCTGGTTCATAGGTCGATGCTCAACCACTGAGTCACGCTAGTCGGGCAGCAGTTAACTTTTAATGTCATTTTTCATGTGGGAGAGTTGTCATCCATAGAGGCTTTGGTAGACATTAAAAAATATGTAGAAGTTGCCGAAACTGGTTTGATTCAGTGGATAGAGCGTCGGCCTGCGGACTGAAAGGTCCCAGGTTCGATTCCGGTCAAGGGCATGTACCTGGGTTGCGGGCACATCCCCAGTAGGAGATGTGCAGGAGGCAGCTGATTGATGTTACTCTTTCATCGATGTTTCTAACTCTCTATCTCTCTCCCTTCCTCTCTGTAAAAAATTAATAAAATATATTTTTTAAAAAATATGTAGAAGTTAAAAGGAGACATATGTAATACCCTTTGTAATACTTTAAGCAATAAAAAAATATGTAGAAGTAAAAATGCATATAGAAAAATACATAAAGTGCACTAACCTTAAATGTACAACTTTTTTTCTATCTTCTTATCAAAATCAGGGGACCAGCAACTACCCAGAAATCCTGGAGAGGATGGAAGTGAGGAATCAGAAAATTCAAGTAACCCTTGTTGTATATAAACTTGATATATAAAACTTCAAATTTACAGCATTAAGAAGTAGTGTACTAAAAATAATAATAATAAAAATTTAAAAAAATAAAAATAAAGTAGTGTACTAGCTCATTTTACATAGCCCAAAGCCTAAAATGTAAGAAATTTTCAGGCAGGTGTATAACAACAATTAATTATTAATTGTTATTAATAATAACAACAATAACCATAGCTACTATTTCTGATACAAACTAACCTACCAGGCACTGTGCTAAGTACTTTGCATGCATTATCTAATTTAATCCCCCACTTCCATGAAATATATGTATATATGTGTGTGTGTACATGTGTGTGTGTGTGTCTGTGTGTGTGTGTTCACATTAGCACAAATCCTCTCCATATCTCCTTTTACACTTCTCATGTCTTCCTAATGTGCTTTGTATCCGCTCCCCTCACACCTTCCCAGAAATGTTACACTATTAACTATCCTTTCTCTTTCTTGTTTATTCAACCTTTCCCTCTTGTTGGATATTTTCATTGGCATTTAAATATGATCAAGTCTCTCCAATCTTACAAAAACAATTTCCCTTGAGTTCACATCCTTCCCTAGCTACTACTTAACTCTTTTCTCTCCTTTATAACTAAACTTTTTGAAATAACTACTTTTTCTGATTCCTTCTTCCTGATCCCTTCACAGCACACTTCATTCTGTCTTCCAACCCCCTCAATCTGTGTTGATAAGGTTTCCATTGGCTACGAAGTTACTAAATCCAGTGGATACTTTTAGTCCTCATCTTGCTTGATCTCTCAAGTAAAATTTGACACCAATAATGGTTTCTTCCTTGAAATACATTGGCTTCTGTGACCCATCACTCCTCTTGGTTGTTCTCCTACATCTCTGGCCAGTCCTTTCAGTCTCCTTTTCAGGCTCCTCCTTTTCCACTTGGTCATTCAATTATGAAGTTCTTGAAGACTCAGTCCTAGGCCTTCTCTCTTATATATAACTCTTCCAGACACTCATTTATGCACATGATTTCAAATACCACTCATATGCATATGTCTCACACACTTTTATCTCTAGGACATATCTTTCCTTTGAGGTCCAGATCTGTGTATTATAGTACTAATAGGTAGCACATATTTGGAACAGTGTCTGGCATATAGTAAGTACTATTTATGTGTTTGCTATTATTAGTACTACTTTACCACTCCTCTGTCTCTTCATCAAAAACTTTCACCTCAAAAAAAAAAAAAGAAAGAAAGAAAACCCAAAAACTTTCACCTCAGACTATCAGGAAAGTTGGGGTGCTTTTTTCTTTGGCAGGGCACACCTCCAATATCCAATTTTATAATGTTTTGGAAAAAGGCCTTACTATCCTATATAGTGATAACATACTGCTACTCACCATAACATTGCATCAGCTTCAGGATTAATGGATGTTGTAATCACCTGCTGAGTGAGTGGAGTCTCATGAACAAAATACCACTGGGCTAGGCCCTTCTACCCA